CCCGCCGCCCCGCCGCCCAGCGCGCGCCGCGTCGCCGCCGCCGCCGTGTCGCGGTGCTCCTTGCCCGCGCGCCGCGCCGCCCACGCCGGCGACCTGCCGCAACGCCCCCGCGCAACACCCAATAGAAGCGCACAAAACAAGCAGCACACCAATTGGATTATCTCTTCATTTCCACCAGTTTCTTATGAGAAAATAAATAAATAACTTTTCTTAGAGTAGGAGAATATGTCATCTGTGGCAACAGACCAATGCGTCGGCCATCTCACGAATGGTCTTATCTCACCTTTAATGTCACTCACAAATTCTTAAAGCAGTTGGATACTGGAAACAAAATTTTATTCCTTTGGCGCGTGATGCTAACATGTACTAGTTCTGAGAAAAATTGAGTTCAACTGCAACAAATGTGGTTTTCAGTATCCAATTCCTTTATGCTTTTGCGAATGACTCTGAATGTGAGATTGGACCATTCGCGAGATGGCTGACGAATTGTTTCTATTATTCTGAACGGACGCCGGCCGTTGAGAGTAGGTTTTCGTTCCTTGTTATGCTGTGAAAAGTCGAAGTGCCCGAACAATACTAAGAAGAGTGTTACACAGTCAAAAACAAATAACCAGATGACGTAAATACAAAATTATAATTAAAAAAACACGCTCTGACTGCTCTTCCTACTTTGACTTGGAGCAATGGCCTAAGGCGCGTACGCTTTCGCGCCACTCGCGTCTTGCGACGACGGCGATGGTGTGTTTGAGGCTTGCTCACGGGAGGGGGGATCAATCCTAAGCATAGAAGAGCGAGCAGTATGAAGCTTTAAAACGCTTGGAAAAGGGAAGCAGGTTACCTCATTTAACTAACGAGTACCATGTTGTGTGGGCCACCATTTCGCGTTTTAAAGCAGAACCAGAGCAAGATTGAGTCGCTTTTTAGAACACTTTCACACGCACTTACAGTACCTAAATTATTACGCATTACTAAGTATTAATTTTACGTTCGATTTACACTCTTTTCTTACCCTCCAGTTATTAGAGAGACCCAGCTCCTGTATACATTTCTAGTTGGTGTTTAAAGTGAAGTAGGATGATTTTTTTCGTTTCCTTTGCGACTCAGCATTAAAATTCAGTTGTAGCGATGATACACACGATTACTAAACCAAATCTACTCAGTTTGGGCTCACAGTAAACCACACAGACATAATGGTATTCACTCTTATAAGTATTTGTAAATCACGTCCATCTAGAAGTATGATAGTGAAATTGAATTACTCTGACTAAAGCGTGTAGAAGGAGACTTTGTTATATAGCTCCTTCTGCAAGGTCCTATGATTGAAATGTAGATAATACAACAAATACGAACAAGACTATAATGAACGGACAAGTAGGAACGTGAATGTCAGGTGAAACAATAAATTGCGGATATCCTAAATATTTGGTGACTACCACTGCAGATTCGATACTGAATTGTAGGCACAACTCACTAGAATACAAATTATATATTATTATTTCTTTATAAGAATGTGAATTCATACATAATATACCGCTTTAGATATTACTCGCGAGAGATTTGTTAACAACTACGTATTAAAAAAATAATAACAAAAATGCTGTTTTAATAGCGCCTGGATAATATGTACCGCGCCTCAGAAATGTCGTATGGGTTGCCTATCCAGAAATCACTAGGCGCCACCTGTGAAAACCCTTCCTTTTTTCTCAAAAAATCGCTTCGGACTTTAAAACAAGGGACGCACACTTAAATGAACATACTTTTTATATATTTACATTAGATATTAGTTCTGATAGTTCCATGTTTTAGAAACAGTTTGGACGGAGCAAGAAGGAACCACTTGAATAGTCGAGAGGTTTGGTAAAGGATAGTTTTGACGACATGAGACTAAATATGACATATCACGAGATTTCAAGCATTGCAAAGTTCTGTGTTGGAGATTAGAAACAAAAATAGAGTTTCAACAAAGACTTGTCTTTATTTTGAAACTATATCATCGCCGCAAGCAGTGCCATAAATGCAATGTCGGGCTCAGGCCATAAAGTTAGGGAAAATACTGCAGGCCTCGAACGATTGCGACATCTTACGTCAGAAATCACTGCTGGGCTAGGATGCCCTTGACAACATAATTGCCTTAAGCAACTCCTCTCAACGGCGTAAGTACAAATAGTGCACTTGAACTATAACCGCTGCAGCAGCTGTCAGTTCCGTAATAGTACAATCAATTTGCGACTGTGTAAACAGACGCAAGCAGATGATCCCTGACCTTGCAAGCGCCGCCATGCAGATACTATCGCTTTGTCCATGACTGCGCCCGCGGTGTGAAGTGTTTGAAGTGTTCTGACAACGACCTGAGGCCACGAGTGTTCATCACGGCCGCCGCATCGGCAACGCTTTGCTCAGAAAGAATGACGCAGTGCACAGCGCAAACGCCAGGAGAGTTCAGCGCGAAGAATAAATACGTAATAACTCATCACCACGGAAAATTCGTCAAATGAAAGTATAAGTATTTGTAGAATATTATCTCATGAGGTAAGTAAAATCCATTGTATTCATACAAATTTAAGTACACCTATAATTATATTTATTCGGTAAATAGTTTCATTATCAAAACATTTTTACATTACAAATAGTCTCAGCCTTTCGAATATTTTTCAAGACTTTATCGATCAAAATGTTATTAGTCATTTATCATTGAAATAAAACTCTGTTACTATTATTTTTATTAAGGTAGAGAAAGCAAACTATGGAAAAACATAACAAATTTAAAGCCTCCATAAATTTTGCACGTTGATCAGTTTTCTCAAAAGACGTGATAAATGCTATTTTACTCATTAATTCAAAAACGATTGCAATAAATATATTCACAATATATTTCTTTAAATATTACGCGCGTATGGTACAGGCTCTCAACATTTCCATAATTTGCATTGAACGTTGGTCGACATGTGAGAAAGGGAGCCGTCCTCTAGCAGAGCGAGTCTTCCGAGCGGTTGGAGGGGAAGGTCCGGACAGCGCGGCAGGGGCATCGCACTTCACGCAATTAGAGACAACTGCCTGTCGCGAGGGCGCACGTGCGGCCAGTCACTAATCGCTGTCAATAGCTGCACCCGTCGAACGTCTTTCGTTTCGACCCAGTTCCCCACGCAAACACTTGTTCTCGCCATCGATTTCTGACTCACTTCCGCATTCGCCACTCGCCAATAACTACGGGCACTGTCCTAAAACTGTGATGATCTGATGTTTGCAGAATTTGTGCCACTTGATGCGTCTGCGGTTTTTGACTTTTGGCCTTCCATGGGCGTATGTAGCGAGACTTCTCGAATCTCTTCATCACTGGTTACACAACACACAGAGGTCCTTTGATCACTTTACATTCATGTGCACAATATCATCGTTTAAATATTTATATTTTTACGTTTTATCTTTATATTTTGTAATGCTATTCAAGTACGAAGTACAATCAGGATATTAACCAATAACAACTCTCAACTTTCATCAGTGTTATGGGAACTGATGTATTTTCTATTCGTTCTCTGTTTACAGACAAGTCCATACTAATTTTGCAATATTCTACAACTATTGTCTGAAGAACAAAATACGAAAACATATTATTTCCAGAAGTTACTTTTTACAATTTTCGAATTTATTGATCGTTGTCAAGAAGTATGTTTAGTCTTTCAAACATCGTTTGCCAAAGACGTACAGAGCTCTCGAAGTGAACGTTCCTAGAAAAATAGTTTGAAAGTCAACTTACCAATGTTAGTCAACGTGCAGTGTAAACATGTACTATACAGTATTGCGCGTGATTAAAGAAAATACAAACTGTTTTCATATGTTGTACAAAAAGAAGTCCACCGCGGTACTAATTTAAAAATACCCGTTGGTAGATAGATGCTTGGAGAGAGCTCGCCCGACTTGAGCTGCTTTGAGGCGAAAGAGGCTTCGGCCGCTGGCGCCGAGGAACGCGGCAGCGGCCAGAGAGGCGCCCTCTGTGCGAAGCGGCGCGACCTCAGGCGCTGCGCCGAGCTGCGCGTGCCTGCGCTCGCAGATAAGCCCGGCTGTGGATTGCAGGCGCGCTATTAAAGTTCAGGGCTACTTCCATCAGCTGCGAAATTCAATTACTGTCGCCGCTTTTTGTCACATTCTTAAGAAATTAACTGCTCGGTTTTTTATGGCCAAAGGCCGCTTCAACGATCCGGTTACAGCCTGCCGTTCGGGGGCACGCCCACTCCGCCGGCCGCCGCGGCGCAGGCGGCGACGCCGGCGGTGGCAGCAGCGGCGACGCAAACTGGCTACTTGCTCCCTGCTGCGGCGATCGCGTGCTCGGAGGCTGTTTGGAGGGTACCTGGGAATTACGGCCGGCCGCAGACGGAGATTAGGGTACTTGACCGGATAGAGCATCTGAGCTTGATGGCTACCCGACCGCGCTGACCACCAGGGATTAGCGCGTAATTAGACACAACTCTGCGTCGGTATTATTCTCCGTAGTTAGTCTGAAGGAGAGAGTGTTTTATTGCGAGACGCTTCTATTTAAGTCTATTAGAACAGTGTCACAATAGTTGAACTACTGCATTTTAACGTTGAAATGGAGTTGTAATGATCTACTTTGCTCGTAAAAGCTTCTGAACTACAAGAACACAGTTTCGCAAAATGAATTGTAAACTATTTTCGTCACAATTTGTTTTAGTACATAGTAATAGTACATGAGATATTAATGTTTATGAATAGCGGTGTGCTTGCTGTGGCTGTAGTTTAGTGTGCTTTATCTTGTTAGTTATCCAAACTATTCAATTATATACGAAAAATTTCGACCCTATGTCTGAAGAGTTTGCACAAACTGATCGCACGGGTTTCTATTCAGTAAACGCACTGCAATATTGGAATACACGTGATCTTTACCATGCCTATTGACCCGCTCACAGAACAGTGCAGGGCGTGTGTATTGGAAATAACGTTCCAGAATTAAGTCATATTTTAAAACAATAATTTACAAAAATAAACTCACGTAGCAATTTGCTCTCTAAGGGCCTAAGAAAACCTAGATGATATAAAATATTTGGGTAAATAATTTTGATAAAATTGGATGCCGAGAGACCACTGGTGGGAGATACCTGGTTTGGGAAACACCACAAGCCCCCGTGTAGGTCGGCGCCGGACATTTCCGCTTGGGCGGACGAACACCGTCACTTCCCATAATAGCAAAAAGCATGCGCTGGGACTAGCGACGCTAGCAGTTGACGCAGTTGAGCGCTCACCTGATGACGTTGGCGCGCGGGGCGTGGGCGTGGGCGGGGGCGGCGGTGGGGGCGGTGCCGCCGGCCACGAGCGTCTCGTAGAGGCGCAGGCCCTCGCTGCCGTTGGGCGCCACGCCGTAGCTCTCCTCCAGCACGGGCGGCCGCTCCACGCCGATCTCCCGCTTGTGCCTGGACGCCGGCTGCGGCGGCGCCTTCTGGCCGGACGCCGCCGCCGCCTCCGCCGCCGCCTCCTCGGCGGCCGCGCGCGCCGCGTTCAGGGCTTCCGTGCTGCGGCACACGCAAAGGACGAGTTGCAGCTAGCTGCGCCCGACAACCAAACTCAACAAAACCATGTCCAAACTGAAGGGTTAATTACGTGATTTGTTCTCGAATTTTAGGTCTTTGTGGATTTACCAAAATCGTGGACGATGCCACCTTTAGTTTACGTTAGCAGCGCTCACCTAAAAAATACATTTTCCCTTCATTGCAAGACAACAAAAATATATCCAAAATTAAAGGCTCCAGCTCATGTTTCCTAAATAAATCAAGACTACAAAGAGAAACGGGTAACATGTTCCAATGGTTTTATTTACACAAAAATTCAAAACTTCAGACAAATGTGAAACCCTACCCAAAATCGAAGGCTATTTTTGGCTCTAAAACAAAATTATTCCAGCCCATATTTTCCAAGAATGTTTTGGAATTGTAAACAATGTCTTATACTAGATCCTAAAATTACCCTTTAATTTCGGTACAGTTTCGTTGAGCAGCAAAATCTTACTATATGATAACGATTGATAACGAAGCTCAATATAAATGTGAATTCACAGATTTTTTATACTTTTATATTGGCAGGAATGGAGGCGTTTTTCCTCTGTCCAAATATTGCTATGAAAGTATATTGTTCTCATATCAATATAGACGTGTTGACTTTCAAAACATTATTCCACTCACGGTAGAAAATTCCACTTCTTTGTGACATCATTGAGATAAAACAAAATGTGTATACAAAGTGATATCAGCACATGCACATCTAGTAAAACTTTCCGGAGTAATTTGAGATAACTTGGAATTTTAATTTCGGCCAGAACTTGAAAGTGGCTCTCTTACCCGCTCTTAATTGTTTAGTCACTTTCATACGAGGTCGTAGAATTTTATCATTTAATTAATCACACCCGTTTGATGTTAGTTTACGCTGCTGTATTTGTAAACGTGACACAGCAATTTATCGGAAATTCCGCCAACGCAATGTAACGATATTTATTCACATTCGCTTTAATAGGATATTTGTAAAAGAAATATTATAATCTAAATTCTCTAAAATTAATTTAAAATAATGAAACAATTTTGTTTCAGGAAACTATTTTTTCAGACCAGAAAAAACAATAGCAATTATTATTTTTTAAACGATGTTTCATGAATTGTCTTTTAAAATAGAAGCCTTCACCTTAAAGAAACATGTACTGCTGCTTTGACGTACGGGTAAAATTTAAACCGTTATCTTAATTTAGTTATATAAGCTAGAATGATACAAATTTCTCTGAGCATCAAGCCGTTAAAGGTAAAAAGTGTTTTGCAAAAACTATTAACTATGACGATTTAGTGTCGATTTAATTTAACTTGTTACTTATTACAATGATAACGACAGTCAGACATGAATTGGTAACGCTGCCTAATGTTTTATTAAACTATATGATAATTCCTCGTGACATACTAAGTCATAACTGCTCTGGTACCGTTTGAGATCTATATAAGCATATTTTTATTAAGTTTGTAAAAGCAAGTGCACGATCACTCTAACATAGATCTTAATGTTATAATGTAGATAACCAGCAAATAACAGACGCGGTTGAAGTTTGTGAACGAAGCGATAGCTGACGATCATAACCAACCAAGTCTGTTACTTATGTTATCAGCCGTCGTTCGTTTAATAATTTAGTAGTATCATTTGCTTATAAGAAAATCATACAAAATAGAAATACTATTTCTTGGAATAAATACTCTCATATGCCATCCTTAGTCTCAAATCCTTTGTTTCGATTATTCTTAACTGACGACGGACAGTTAAATTGTTAACGGACGCCGACCGTTAAGCGGTTGTTGGAACCTCTGGCAAGTCGCTAAGTCGTGGAATCGCGATACGTTGACATGTATAAGAAGGGATCGCATTGGCATCTACTGTTTGGCTACTGCTGGCAACATAACTACAGGTTATATACACTCAATTTATCAATGGGTTCGTTTACAGTTAGATGACTTATAAAGGGCTTCATCAGTACCTCTAGCAATGGCATCTCCCTATAACACGTTCATTTGTTTCCCGACCAGTGAAAAGGGCCCCTTCTTAGAGTAACTCTTTCGTACACAGTTTTGAAAACACAGTCGTCCCGCTGAAGAGAGAACGGCAGTGGGAGCACTCACCCTGGCTTCTTGTGCGGGTGGGCGCCGGGGCGCGCCTGCGCTAGGTGCGCGTACTGCGGGTGGAAGCGGCCGCGGTGCTCGGGGCCCGGCGTCGCCGCGTCCGCCCCCGCCCGCTCCTCCTCCTCCTCCTCCACCGCCTCCGAGTCCGGGTAGTAGTCCAGATCGCCTTCGTCCTCGGGGGGCAGGTCGCCGTCGTCCTCGTCCTCGCCCTCGCCGTCGGCGCCGACGCCGTCCTCGTCCTGGTATACCTGCGCAAGGAGGAGATGTGATGGATGAGGCGCCGCTGTCTGCAGCCGTTGACAAATGAACACAACGCCCAAGGCTTGCAGCCCCGGCGCGACGTGTGGGCACGGCCGAAAAACGAGGCGCTTCGTTTTCACATTCGTTCATTTCCCCGCCCACATCGAGCTCGTCAAGTACATATATTGGAACTTGGCACATACGACTGATGAGAAAGGATCTCATTAAAACTGGTAATGTGACCACCAAAAATTGGGTATAAGATGAACTGTCTTTCGACGTAGTACCAAAAGTTTCTATCTGCACCTGTCTCAATTAGCTGCGTATTTGAGTTATGGTCACAGTTACTAGGGGAAATATTGTTCTCTATTAACATTGCACGATATTCGCGAAACTATTGTTTCTGAATAAGCGTTAATTTTAGAGAATAATTTGTGGCTATGAACGGTTTATTTTTCAATTTATCATGGATGTAGAAGATATTAATACAACATTTCGACACTACAGTACATGCTATCCGCAGCGCGTACGTAGTTACTTGTGGATAAAAAAATACTTTGTAATAGAAATTGCTAAACCTTTTAGAGATATCTCGAACTAATAATAAATTTCTTTGGAGTTAAAGCTCATAAGCAAGATACTTGTAGAGAGGGTATCTATCGTAAATCGTGATGTTCATAACATGTAAATCTCTCATCAAAACCAGTCGAATAGATTACCTTACCAAAAATACAAGGGAAGTAGGCACAATCAACATGGAAGGTTTAATAAGGATTTCTTATCTTTCTTCTTATTTCAAATTTATTACAATTAGGGTGTTCGTTAACACATAATCATAACATATACACAATTTTCGTCATGCACGAATTGTGTTGGGGAATTCATAGAAGCCATTCTGAAAAATACTAAATATGAATATTTCATTATATTATACTATTATTACTCCCATTATAATTTTTAGAGGAAAGATGCGCCCAATTTTCATTTCATTCTTACTCCTTTTCCTAGAAGGCCTTTACAAAATGTAAAAATAACAACAAATGTTTCAAATTCAGGGAGAACCTAGTATGTCTCGGTCCACCAAAAAGAAGTCTGGCAAAGACTCCATGCAAAAGTCGTCAGACGCTCTTCAAGGTCACAATGTCAGATTCCTCCGGTGTAAGAAGCGTGAAGAGATTATTCAACTGTGATGTCAACGCGTCGTTGTAATAGGACTGCATATCATTAAAATTACCATGAAAGTTGCATTGTAGAATCTTCTATTCACAACTAAGTACATGTGGTTTGTACATTTACATGTGCAAATGATTTATGAATAAATAAATGTTTTAGTAATTATGAAACCCTCATTATATGGAGGTCTTGAGCAATGGGAACAGCAAGTTCTTGTGATAAACAATTCATCCTGATTTAGTAACGTAAAATACCAAAACAAATTGCTTTTTTAGAATAGTTTTCTGTGACTAAAATGTCCAGGAATAATTATTTCAAAACCAAACATCCATAATATTATTACACAATTGTTGGGAAACATTCCAGCGCTCAGCATATGTATCTTTAAGCTTGAGCAAATGGAGAAAGATAGACACGTTTGTGCACATTACTACTCATGGTTTAAGGATATGTTGCCAAACGTATTTTTTGCATAGGACGACTCAAAAAGCAATAAAAACAGGTCGAGTCCTTATGAAATGGCACCATTATTAAGCATTATTGGAATGAAATCTGGTGGTACTCTGAGGTAGTTTTCGCGTTGCGTAATTCGTAAGTTGAGTTTGAGATTAAGAGAGCAGTAATTGGAATGGAAATGATTGGAATTTCAAGAAAAAAGAAAGACAAACGTTTCAATAATGTCTTTGCAAGGATGCAATATAGCATTCATTGGTGTGATAAATGCTTTCGTTCTCATAATCAAGTCAGAGAGCCAATATTTCGATAAGTGGATACGTTTTCAGAAGAACCGTACTTTTTTGTTATTTAAGGTCGCATCAACTTCTAGATCATTAGCGATCACTATTACTTGTAACGGTATGGTAACTGCGACACGATATGATTATGATGATAGGGGGTGAAAGGACGAACACAATACAACCATGCCCGAGGCGAGACTCAACCCGCGATCCTTCGGTCCGAGTTTGCTACGGCACTACTGCCTTAGCGATCTCGGCCACCGGATGGGCAACCATACTTTGCCCGCTGTCACGACACGTTGCTTACGGAATAGAAATTATTTTTTTAAGAGAACGTTTTTCGTAAATGTAATCTTAAAATGATGAAAGATACTTGAACTGCATTTTGCTTCTAAGAAATGTTACGTATTTTATTCTTTATTTAAGAATGAGTTTAATTCTGTTCGGCCATTTTTGGAGGTTGACGCTAGTATGTTCATAATTATCTATAAATAGTAAAAATCAGATCTAGATAATGGAAATGAACCGACGCCACGATCTAGTCAAACACGGACCCCAAAATGTTACGAATGACCCAGAGCTCAGAAGCACGGTTAGTTAGAGAATCGAATCTCAAGTCAAAATCTTCAATCTTTCAAACGCGTGGGGTAGGTGAAGGATTCTCACGCCATGTGCTCCTGCAATACCGGTTCAGTCAGCCCGTGAGAAAGTGCTCTCGATTGCAAAGCGAACGCGTGCTTAGTCGTGACTCTGCCAACAGGGAAGGCGGTAGCTCAGCGCAGAGACAAGCGGCGCCAGGGCGCACGCGGAGGAGCCGTAACAAGCTGCTCACGAAGTTGTCTCGTTAAGTTAGACGTAAGAGATAACATGCTAATAAGAGACCTGCGAAGCCGTAGGAGTAATGCAATTCTCGGTCGTTCGGGATGCAAGTTTATGAGCAGAGGAGCGCACTCATTGTTCCGTAATGCATGCACATCACGATGCCAGCGCTTGCCGCACTTTCTCTGTTTCCACACAGCGGCGCCGCAGGCGCGTGGGGCCGCGATCCCCGATTCGCCGAGGCAGGAAAGTGGGTGGCCAAATTACAACTCCGAGTTTGCGGAAATAGTTATCGCACAACATTTGAACATAAGGTTTCTTGTGATTCATCGGATTACGAAACTATTTGTTTTCGAACGAAATAAATTCAATTAATAATTAATCTATAAACAGTATTATTAAAAAAATATCGACGATATTGGAATCATTTCACATAATTTGACTTTATATTATAAAGTCATTACAGAAAGTAACTTTTTCCTTTGGCACCATCAAAGTGAAAACCGAACCACAGAACACACTTCACCCCGCAGTACGTCGCACAGCTTCATCTATTTTTGAGGTTATATAAGTAATTGTGATGTTGTAGTACTGTGTAATCAAAGTATTGCAAATTTTAATGATCTAGAATCTCTCTCCCGAGAAGCTTTCAAGCGCTTACTCGACCAGTCACAACGTTTAAGTTAGTCAAAATCTTAATGAAACGTCGCAACGTTAACGAAAGCAAACGATCGCAGTCAGAGTGTACGAATGTATCAATTGATGTCACTAGGGTTTGGGTGGTTCTACGGTTCGGATCCCGACGTTGGCAGTATATTCCACACTTGAAACATAGCTAGGTTAACTCAGCCGCTGTCCGGAGAACAATTCCAGCAGCCGCGAGTTCTGTTCGGTAGTTTCCCGTGGTGTCTTGGATTAACGCCAGGTCAATGCCGGAGCAATACCTTAACAAACAGTCTTCCCATTGCGCGCGGTCTTTCCCTCCCCTTCCTTGACCTATCCTCACCCCTTACACTTACACTTAAATGTATTACACTACCAGACATGTCGGGAGACCCACAAGAGCTTAGAGCTTGTCTCAGCTGGGACGGTGTCCCGCTGGCTTTCGCCTGGTTGGGTAAAAAAACGTAGATCGGAGCCGGATCTCTCTATCCAACTGGCAGGATGATCACCGCCACCTTCAGCGATGCAAACATTCACTACACTTATGGGACTAGTGACAGTAGTCGAAGGCCAGGAATCCTTAATTAATCGGAGTGCCCGTCATCGCATGCTCGTTACCGCCGTTCTTTCGTTTCGTGCGCGGCGCGGCGCGGCGCGGCGTGGGGGCGGGCGTGGGCAGTGGCGGCGGGGAACGACCCCGCGCGCGGCCTC